AGCTGAAAACGAGGAGAAAACGGTGTGTTATTCTTTCAGTTTATTTGAAATGAAGATAGTTAATACTATGTTCAATATATAGAGATATTGTAATTCAGTAATGTTGCTATCTCAACTGATAATTACACAATTACATGAAGATGAATTTGTCCAATGTTTGGTTTATATTATGTCAGTATAATAGATAGTAGATGCATTGACAACGTAGGCAAATCACATCACGATTTAATAAAGGGAAATGACACAACATTTTAGTATCAACCGACGCCGATGTTAGGATTGTATTACAAACTGATATTGGTTGGAATGACACTCATATCAGAATAGAATTATCCAATAATTTTGGAAATAGACTAATTTGAACAATGACATTATATTCACATGCTTCTTATCTGAATAGTATGTGTTCGTTGATTGATAATTTACTTTGAGATTGATTGTGTGGTGACGTTTTGATGAAGAATTTCAACTGTTTTTCTACTTGAAATATCAAAGATGACAGTGAACAATAATCGTGGACGATTCGAAACGTGGTGATATTGGAAATGCAGACATTTTGATACTTACCCGATAATCTAGACTTATGGTGACCATCTCGAAACGACATGGTACTGTGTTCGATCACATTGGGGTTGTAATTGTGAACAGTATGGGTTTTATATAGTAGGACGAAGAGTCCGTACAATGTTTCCTACAAGTTAATGTATATATTTAAACAACATCAGTCAGAGATATAATTTGCAAGAGACATTGTGTTTGTATGTTAATTGTTGACAGAAAACACTCTAGCTAACTTTTCAGTTCTGTTTCTGTGGAAAGTGGACAGTTAAGGTACTTTGTAGATCAGAGTAACTTATAAAATGTGATATTCCAATATACATAGTTATGTTCTGAACGTTATAGATGATAATGATCTATTACTATTTGTAAGGTGGTCAACTTCTAGCAAACTCACCACTCGTTATACTTTGTCAATTGAAGCACATGTGAATTAGAATGTGGTAGCATAACTGGTCTTTCACAAGTGAATTTTTAAAATTGAAATAAAGTTGAACTCCATAATTGAGTAACAATTATAGATCAACAAAATGATTATATGAAGACATTTATGATAATCCATTATTGGAGAAGTTTCTAAAGAGCTTAATTTTATACATCACTCCAATGAGCAATACTGAATAGATACATTTGAGTTTGTAGCATGTACGTTTATATTCATATAATAGTAGATTTCAACGAGGTGATGGTGTGCTACTGTAGTGAAAGAGAACACAGCTGAGGATAATCTTATTGTATTTAGCTCAAACTTACAGAGTTACTTGGTAATACAGGAAATCCATACTATATTACTTAATTTGCAAAATATTCAATAATTGTCTCGAACTTCATTGTTCTTGCATTTCCATACTGACTGCTTTCTCTTTCCGCTCTTTTTTTCTTGATCTTCCCCATTTTTCGCCGCCAGACATTACCTTCATGACTCGCGTCATATACTACTTATATCAATATAAGTAGCACGCACCACACTTCTACAAACTAGATGAAAAATGAGTAATTCCACTAGAGTTGTAACCGATTTTGTTCGGATTGACCATTCTTTTTCTTTAACCTCCTCTTATACTTGTGAATGATATGCAATGAGCCTAATGGTGATCTGACACTCATAACATATATACAGACAATTTCACATAAAGATAATTAAGATTACCATCATTTAGCCTGTTTTTGAATTTTCATTGAAATCTGTTTGCCTATTGATAATCAACTGGTTTAACTGATGATTTTGTGTTCATGGTATACAACATATTTCTGAGTGCAAAACAAAACCACGGAATACAATATTGACAATGATTCTTTTTAAATCCACAGTAATCCTACTACCTGGTATTGATTCGATTGATAACAAACCAAGAGTTAGTCTTTGCGACGTGAAATCATGTTGATGCCTTTTATCGTGGTCCCAACGTTTTATTTTCTGTTGTTAATCTTATTGACTAAACTTGATCAACCTTTGTGTAACTTCTCGGTAGAGCTATTATGATATAAGTTCCATTTTAAATCATACAAATAGACCCTATAAATCTTTATCTTTTACTCAATTCAATATATTTTAGAATTGTCATTTGAAAGTGTACCAGATTATTTCATTTTATTCTTATCTTGACACTACTGATTAGATTTACTTCTTGTTATGACCTAAGGTTATCTACTGTTAAAAGTATGTTTTGAATTGTGGATTAGATTTAGAATTCAGAGTAGGAATTTGTTTTTAAATATTAATATATGGGCTTTCATCATAAAACTACATGAACTATAATGTCGTCATGTTATTTAACTCTTTCGATGAATAAATTGCATTCCAGAATATAAGATTGACTCCCATTAACTTCACTGGTTAGTTCATTATTTGTAGTCACATCACAGATTCTTGGTACAGAGCCGTTTTCTGAATAAAGATCTCTCAGTTCTATCTTCGCTAAATGAAGACGTGCGATCGCCATAACAGCCAGGATTAGTACATGATTGTCTTTATGCTTTGAAGCTTCCATTGTTTTCTAATCAGTTATGGTGAATTGACTGTCAGTTTGATCTATAACATATTGGATCATTGAATCTAACGTTGATGTTTGCATCAATATTAGTATTACGTTCTCATTCTGTCGTAGAACCAAGCAGAACATGGAGAGGCGCACATAATTTGAGCTGAACTCGTTGGAAGATGATCAACTTAAGTATCAGATTTTTGTATATGTGCTACATTCATAATTTGACTCAAATATCTGTGCTTGAGTCCCAAGTCAAAAAGGAAGAACTTGTAATTAACATGGAGGAATCATACGTGCATAACGATGAATCATTGGTTTTTTGAGTGATGCCAGTACAAATGAATGTTAGAATCATATACCCTATCTTATAAATGATGATTAATTTTATAACGGTTGGGTTTCCAATGTTTACACGTATGGGACGTGAATTTACCTTGAACGATTATCTACACTAGATTCCCTCCAAGTATCTATTCTACAGAACTTCAACACAACTCAGACTAAGAACACGTGATTAGTCTGACCACAACGCAAATATATTTCCATACCAGAAACCCGACACAATCCAACGACAATAAACAATCAGTAATAATAATTATAAGGATAAGGGAATATATAACTCATCTGACACTTATCAGGCTATCACATGTCTGACTAAGCAGACAATCAATCATTATCATTCTCGCCCACACATCAATTAATTTGATGGCATCAAAGTTCGCAGACTTTTTTCAAATTCTCTCACTAGTAGCTTGGAGTAGAGAAAGTAGAATTTCCCCGATTTTTTGTTCGTTAATTAATTGAGAATATAAAAATGAGGTATTTACGCTTACAAAAAGAGACTTTACAAATGAAGCAAATGTTCATCTTATTTTCGTAGTTCTAACGATAGAATTGTATTGATGCATCATATAAATCTAATTTCTCATTCCCAAGTAAACATATATCTGTCAGTGTTGATGATAGCGGCATTATATCGCCATTTGGTGCTATCTCTGAAGCTACTTTCATTCTCTGAAAAACCAAACACAAACTTAGTCGGCCAACTATTCATCTTACGACAGATTGTAAACCGAACGAACCAGATGACCTAGTCAAATTTGTTCAATGTATCAAGTATGTTGTTGATATAATCATTAAATTAATCGTTTTAAATACCACACCATCAATGAATCACTTTATTTGTTGAATGTTGATTGGAAAACAGATTTGAAAATATCTGACCTACCATTTGGTCATCGTTGTGACTATGTGCCTCTAACATTCAGGATCAATCTGTCAGTCGATAATAACTAAGTAGTATCTGATACATTCTCCAATTTAGGAAGAAACAAACTTGTGCTGGATGCATTCGGTTGGTATCGAAGTAAGTTTTAAGCGATGCGTTTACCAGTGATCATCACGTTTCATGAATAAACTTATGATGGTATAGTCGAGCGGCTTTACTTCATAGTCTCCATAAATCACTTTAAAGTCATTTCATGAATTATCTTAACACACATGATTCCTGCGTAGTATTTATCAACTTTGAGGACAGTTCGATGGCATTTTAATTAAAGTATGAAGTGCCGATTGCTTGTTTTACTACAAATAAAGTCACATCATCTTGAATAAACTTGGACCTTTGAGTAATAATACATTTCAGCACTTCATGATCTTCAAAGATTTCAATAATAAAGAACTGTTGTATGCTGAAACTATAAAACAATCAATCAGCTTTACTGAATATCCGAAGTGAAAGTGAGGTCTGTGAGCACATGAAGAGGCAAATAAAGCCCCCAAAAGTAGTTCTGTAAGTATTCGACATTAATGCTGGATTTATTAGTTTTAGTGGACATCAATCATCCTCGTCTGATCACCACTGTGTACGCAATGCTAAATATTCCTCACAAGAACCAGCCAAACTAGACTAAATTCTTATCAAAACTACATTTGAGCTTCTTCATTCATGACTTCTGATTTAAATCGGTTCTTATTATTCGACTATACGTTTGCGACGGATAAAAGCGTTGTCAAGCCCGGAATATCTGTGGCATCTCTAGACTTATCAACATATCCCGACGAACCGACTACATTTCAGATATATCTCACAATTTATTCATTCCTGATTTCTAGTTTCACTGGATCTGGGATCCTTCGGTTATAAAGGTGTTGCAGATAAAATTGTTACCAACCCCTCAATATTTGCCATAGCATTACACACAAGCGATCATCTTCCATGTGTGGACATTACTTATAAAATCAAATAACACATGATTATATATTCTATCACGTGAAAATAGACAAAAGTGCGACATCTAGACGTCAGACATTGGGAAACGACCTACTACTGATAACAAGCATTGAGATTATCACTTAAGTTAATACTAGAAACTACAGTACTGTCCAAATCTCAATTTATCTACCGTTCATTTCAAATGTTAATGAAGAAGGAGAAGAAGAAGAAGAAAACTATTAAAATATCAAGTATATTTTACTCAAGATGTTCATAAAACAGAAAAATCTACATTCTTGTATAAACTGATATCATTTCAAAGCAGGTTAATTAAACCAAAGATGCAGAAAGTGTTGCATCTCGTACACGTTGAAGAAAGACATTTAAACCTGAAATTGTATACACATAGAAAATGTCAGTGACGGGTTGTGGAGATTGTTGAGTTTTGATTGAGATCATGAATAGATGAATGTTAGACCACCATTGAAATCGTGGAAGCACTGGACGGCAGTTTCATCCTGATATGGGACTCTTGAGCAGTGGGCACCTGCGATCCCACATGCGAGAACGAATGTATTGTATTCGAACACCGCAAACATGATCGTGGATGCGCACTTCTCAGAAATCAAATACAAAGACGAAACAGTCGTCCAGTGATTCCAGTTTTACCATTGTGGTCTAACATTCATGTATTCATGATCTCAATCAAAATAGAAATTGATTGATCAAAAAGGACTTACATTGACCACCTGTTCCTTTAATATCAAGTTGTTTTATTCTAGCATCTGCACTTTGTGATGGTTGTATAATGAATCTAATGAAAAGTAATTATTCATTTACCAATAAACTAACATTTATTCTATAGTTACCTTTTAACTAATGATATGTGAGCATTTCGGAAATTCCACAATGATTGAAGACATTGATTATAGGCTGTTCTCATACGAGAAGATTTGCTTTCAGCAACTAAATATTAAGTAAAATTTCAATAGCGAGTGATTCGATGATGTATAAAGAACAAATTGAAATGTTGCTATCATGATGTTATGTGATTGAGTTCATAATCATGTAACGAAAACTTGTTGTTCTAACGATATAAACAGAGTTATTTCAGGAGAAAAAACAACTAATCTAAACAGGAAAGTTACTTTTTCTTGGTCAACCAACGTCCTACCAGAGGTTGGTATCATGACTTATATCAATACATTCAAATCTCATAGCAAAAACACTTAGTTACTGCATCTTATGAACTTTATTCAGTGTTCAATATACACAAACTACATTAATTGATCACTATCATTTACTTAACTCACTTCAAATATTCATAAATTTCAGTAGTATATTTAAACACACTGAATGTCATCAAAAACCAATTATCAAAAGTACATTCCATTTAAATAAATTTTTGATTTAGGTCATGAACCGCTTGATGTTGGACCACCGCTGAATACCTGGAAGCACTGAACGGCCATTTCGCCGTATTGTGCGACTACTCAGCAGTGCGCAGTCACGATCACACTAGCGGAATTCAAAACCAGGGTCTCGGATTTCCTTCGAATAAAGGATTTTATATTTAACTAATAAACTTCTATTTAGTGGTGTATGGTTGATACTCAGTAGTAATTGAACTGACAACGGTTTCAGATGAAAATACGTTTACATCAATTTATTGTCATTGAATAGATCCTATATCCTTGTTTTAAAAAAAGCATTGACACACATCTACGTAATCAAAATTATGATGACCGGTATGACAATCAATGTTCTGATTATCTAACCACCTCCATGTATTTGTCGAAATTCACAAATTCAATAAAAATAAAATAAGAAATTACCAGAGACCAGGTTTTTCTAATAGGATTATGATAAATAGAACCACGTACAATATAGCATATAAGTTTGAACTACGCATTGAAGCTCAATGATTAAGAGATGTGGCTAAGTAATGAAATCGAATATAAGATTAGTTGTGACATAGTATCCATTTGGTCTAAAACCCATAATCAGACAAACAAAAGGCATTAGTTATGAAATCTACTTATATTCAACTATAAGTTAAATTCAATCATATAGTAGCATTTCCATTAATTAATCTCTAGAACTTACCTATACAACGGATTCGACTATGCATTGCTAGATCTTGAAGAAACTGTCGATGTTCTTTTATCATATATGTCTGCATATTACGGAAGAATTTTTCATCCTCTTGAAAAACAAAATCAATATGAACAGAGAGGTGTTTGATTTATGGTAAATGATGATCATAATTAGATGGTGTAGGAGAGGTGTCTACACCAATTAACCCCGTGATTACAGTAGAGAGTGTATATTCATAGGGAACATTTTTATCATAGTCGTGTATTCAGTTTTTCATTATTTCCACTTTACTGAACTGTAAAACACCTCCTGTAGCATTTCGAGAGTTATTGTCGGTCTCAAGACAGGTTAAGTGAGGAGGGTTTCACATGGGGTCAGAATCCCTGTCCTGTAGAAAACAATCTTGTTATAAATCTTGTCCAGCTTCAAGATCAACAGGTCGGATTCCGTATGGATCAATCGTGCACAGACCACATCGTGACATTACGGATCATTGGTAAACATTCAATTGAATGAAACTTATCACCGTATAACAACTTCATTGACTATGAGAATTTGTTTTACAGCGTAGAAAGGAGAGCCACATGGAACATTGTTCGATACTATAGAGTACTGATAGTATCATTAACATCATCCAGAATTCATACAACAGACCAATCTTCTAAGTGGAGTATGGAAGATAACTAACAGACGCATTCCAAATGAAGATCAGAGTCAGACAAAGCTGAATACTCTCACGTTTTATCATTCTTCTGGTGGTTGACTGTGTGATGAAGACCCTCATATGAGAAGCAATACACGGAGTACAATGGACAGCTTGCAACTAGACGATTTGCACTTTACAGATGACCTGGTCTCTTTATCCCTTACACATCAACAAATTCAGGTCAAGACAAACAGTTTAACAGAAGCAGCCTATGCATCTGCAGACTTCAACATTTTTTATGGAAAAGCATGATCCTCAAATACGACGAGGAGAACACCAGCGCATTTACACTAGATGGGATAACTCTGGATGATGTGGAATCCTCCATGTACCTGTACAGCAACATCGATTAGCAAGGAGGATCTCATGTAGATGTGAAGCGAAAGACTGGCAACGCAAGCACAGCATTCCTACAGTTGAACAACGAATTGAACTTGAAACAACTATCAACCAATATCAAAGTCAGAATCTTCAATGCTAACATCAACATAGTCCTACTGTATGGAGTTGAAACTTGGATAAGTACTATTACCATCATCACAGAAGTACAAGCAGTTCTAAACAATTGCCTACACAAGATTCTCAGTGTCCGTTGACTACATACTAACAGAAACAGTTTACTGTATGTGAGAACATAGCGATTTCCAGGTGATGAGGAAATTAAGAAGAGACACTGGAGGTGGGTAGCACACACAATACGGAAATCATGAAACTGCATCACGAGTCAAGAGCTATCATGGAATTCTTAAGGGAAACGGCAGAGAGGAAGACCAAAGAATATGCTGTGCCAAGAATCGGAAGCAGACATGAATGGGATGAATAGAAACTGGAAACAATTGGAGTGGATTGACCAGGACAGATGTGGATGGAGTATGCTGGTGGGCAATATATGCTCATTCACGACAGTTAATAGGCATAGGTATGCAATTATTATACTATTAAACATTTCGACGGAAATTTTGAAGCGTGTATCACTTCTCTTCGTTAATTTGTCGATGCTTATTTAATTATACCATCAAGTAACGTCAAAATAAAAGGACTCCCACTGAATTCCACCACACAGATAGCAGTTGTGTAGAATGTACAATGACATAATGAAGTTAGAAATCGAACACAGTTTAAATGTAGAATGGATTATTTACCAGGATCATGTTTTATCTGGAAAAATGCATCACACGTCTGAATCGTTATTGACTGTGCTGCACTTGCTCCAATACATTTCCGTCGATCTGTGTTGCTAGTATATTGTTGACCAGAAAATGGACAACTTGATATGGCTTTCTTATTCTCATTCTCATTCTTCTCATTATTATTATTGTTTATGTGTTGTGAGTTTGTCTCGTAAGTTAGACCCTTGTCTTTAAGTTTTCCATGAGACCATCTGTGAAATACGAAATCACAGCATCAGTTCAGTGAATAAAATATATTCATTTCAGAACATACAAATGGCAATGAAAGCTCTAAATATAAAGACATCACATTTTGATGAAAATCTTAGTAAAACATTTCACTAATATCTTAGATGGTTTTCAACAAAGTACTAGACTACTTCAATGATATAGGAACAGCATTCAAATCAATTGTATGAACTCAATTCATAGTAATAGTCATACTAATAATAACTAGACTTCATAGAATATGATCTCTGGAAAGCATGAATGGTTGAGTTATATGCTGTTCCTAAATAGGTCGTTCAATAGAACAACCTAATTGAACTTGGCACATTATAATATAGTTTCTGTCTTTTCAAGTTTCACTTTTTATGTGAACAAACACGTTAGCTGAATAACTACGTACATATAAGACTACGCAAACAATGAGTGAACACATTTTGCAGTTGTTTCTACAATATAATTGCATGAGAATTGAGTATAAAAGGATTCCCATTTCACGCTAAGCATACATATTATTATTATTATGAAATGAACTAATGACTCTTAAATAATTTGTCATGCGATTTGGCACAAATATAAATGGATTCTTGATTCTTTGCTAAATCTGTATCATTTCCATCGAGGTGACAAATTATCGAAATATAATAGTTGAATTCATGGGTGGATTAAAGATAAACCACCAAGGAAAACGTGGAAGCACTGGACGGACGTGTTGTCCTAGTGTGTCCTAGTCTCACACATGAACACTTAATCTCTGGACCACTAAGTCGGCCAGTATCCAACGGTGTTAATGTCTAACTTGAACCTATCCACAAAATCGCGTCACCATGCAACATTATCTTCAGTGAGTCACTGCCTCACACCAAACACGGTTGAACACCACTAGTTATGGCTTCTTACTAGAACTCCAGCAAATAACAGCCGTTCAGTGTTTCCAGGTTTTCCGTGGTAGTCTAGCTTGAATCGAATCATGAATTCAACTATTAAATTACTACCATCTCTACAGAACTCACTTTTTCATAATTATCCAAATTATATTCATTAAAATATTTTTAAGGGTGGTTGAAATATAATTACACAATCAAAGATTAAGCTGATCACTGTTTAATTATAAAATAAACATTTACTTATGCTGTACATTCCTATTTATAGTTATATGGAAAATATGTGTTTATAGAAGGATGGAAGAGAATGCATCATGAATTGATTCGAGACTCTTATTATCAAATGAGGTTATGCCATAATCAAAGGGTAAGAGCATATAATATGAGGATGAAAATAATTTACGGTTCGAATAATTGTCCAATTGACAGATTTGAGGAAAAACGAGAAAGATATAGGTCATAATCGTAAAAACTGGATTCGGGCTTAAGTTCGTGAATCGACAGTGCCCCAGCAGTACATAAAATATTTACTCAACTTCCCTTCGATCCCCTTGATTATTGAGTAACCTCCTTTGATAATAAGAGTTTCGAATCTGTTTCTGATGCAATCTTTTCTATCTTTCTATAGATATATATTTTCCATATAACTATAAACACGAATGTTCAGCTTAAGTAAATGATTTCGTAGAAAGAAAAGTTTTCTTCATTGAATTCTCTCTATTTTTATTCGGTGACACCATGAGCTATTTCAATTATGTGAAATAAACCTTCCAATCATGAATGAAAACAGCTAGTTTCTAGCAGAATGATATATAACCTTTATATCGAACATTGTATTCCATAGTGTGGAATGTTCATTTGAGCTTACAGGGAGATAATTCACAAGGAACTACATATTCTAAGGTGATTTAATTAAGTAATTTGCTTTCTGTCTAACAATTCTGATCATATACATTATTAGTTATTGTGACATTCATTAAAAGTTGATTTTCCATTGACACACAAATGAATAACATTCACTTACCCACACAAAATGGGTCTTAAATCGACATAGAATTCTTCTGAATTTAATTTACCTATTAAGTTCAAGTTCAAGTTGAAGAAACGTAAGTTAACAGTTGCACAAAAGTAGTTTCATGTAATAAATAACATGTTGAATTGATTGATTGATTGATTGGTACAATGAAAAAACTAAACTGAATTAGTGGTGATACTGATATGTTGATTAATCTGGATACAGGGCAAAAGATAAATGCACATGATTGGTCGAGAGATGACTAGTATTTCTAATCAATGAGATATATACCACTGATCAATGAGTGTTCACACATTTCCAATTCACTCAGCTAATAAAAGCTTCCTCCACACTCGTGTAGTCGGTCGATCACATGAATAGGAAGTTTGTTTAACGTTGTCAGAAATGGACACGAAACAACACAAAAGATACCTAACAAAGTATGGTTCGAACAAAGTTCTCATTATAGTTGCTGCCAGCTTGTGTTGAAATATCTAAATCTGATTCACAACCCTAACATCAAACTATACATCATAGTCCTAATTCCTCACACTCTTTTATCATCCTCATTCAACTCTTGTTAGTAAGCGAACATTCTCAAGGTCTCTTTGACATCTCTCAAATAATGTCCATATATTATAATCTCATTCACTCATTTTATCCATAAACCATCCAACCAAATTTTGAAACAGTTCAAAGTATTCAACTTACCATAAAAGTTCTTTAATGCATTTCTAAATTGTACAAACGCTTTAACTATATTTTCTAAGCATTCTGTGATAGAATCCTCATTCAATGGATCTTGAGCTTTAATGGCATTCATAATTTCCTACAAACGATTACAAATTCTATCAAAAGATTAGAATGACTATCAATATTGATAAATCCTTGAATGGTCTATGGATTGGGAACAACGAAAATCTAATAAACCGCACAAACCATGTATTACTACACACAATTTCATATTATAAAGTGAAGGTATCAAACTAATCACCTTTGGGTAAATGGAAGTACACAGAAAAATATCTGTTCTTTACAAATAACATTCCAGTTCCATTTTCTTACTTTATAACTATTCTGAGTATTCACTAAAATTCAACTCTTACCATCAGTTATTTATAGATCTGATGGATGAAATGTCGGTTTACAGAAAACACGATCACATTGTTCACTACTCAACACAATGCATTCATGTTATCCATGAAGTAAATAAGATTTGTCATCGCTCGACAAATGAGTCGACACTGTTTCAATGGCATATCGTTCATGAATCCGTAATTCGAGTAGAATCTAATCAAGTGATAACCTAAATAGGATGGTCATATAGATAAGTGTTTGGTAAATCATACGAAAACATTCGATATTAGGGATGACCTATAAACTGTTACCACAGAATTGATCTGTTCTATCCAGTCAAAATTGAAAATGTGAAATTTGGACCAAAATTAACTCAAGTGAAATACCTTATTGCTAGCTGACTTAATTGGTGGTCAATAAATTGGAAGGTTGTTGGATCACTCAAACATTCATGACTACTTTATTAAGATTTATGGTGTGATATGGAATTGTTTAATTATACTGACAAGAAACACACCATTCTCTAATTACTGCTAACAAACTGTGCGTGTGTGTGTGAATTTCTATTTAAAGAATGTAAAACTAGATGTGAACTCTTACATGAACTTTGGTAATCAGAACGACTCAAAGAGTACCTAAATCACATCTACCATTTCATCCGTGTTCATATAATTCAAAAGATCTAAATCATATGATGATTAATCACGTGCGAGTTAGTATTCATCTATCATCATTCTCATGGTGACATTGATGTTATGAGTAGCATGAATTGCACTGATAAGAAACAACTTCGGAAGTAAATATGTTGCTGTTTTCACCAGTGGATGACTGTTCACTCAAGAATAACAATATGCCTTGATGATAAGTTCAAACTGTCATAAAATAAATACAGAGTTTTCTTTCAACTGTCTGTAACTAATTAGTCACTCAAATTACTGTCTGCATTGTAGATCGTTCGATAAGATTCAGTCTGCATTACAGACTAGTGCGACACATATATTTTGAGTTCTACAAGAAACGTGAAATGTATTGAGTATGATACTAACACCTAATGATGAAAAAATGATTTAATATGCATTTCGATACAAACATAGACCATCTGCAAGACCATCAACAAGTAAATAATACTCCACGGTAAATTCAGTTTAGTTGGAGTATCTTCCTCAGATTTCAATTTCAACTCACAACCACCAGTTGTCAGAGTTTCCGAATTGAACTGATCTCCACAGAACAGCAAGCTGCCCAGATCTATGTATGTACATTTTCACTAACTGAGTTGATTATTTAACATCTAATCGTAGTGAAGAAGAAGACAATGAGCTAACGAATGAACTGTTTGTTAAGCGGAATTGCAAAGGCTTTACATCATACGTATACCCAGTCTCCGATCATGTGTTTGCATAACCCAGTGTGTTCTACCATTCAAACTGTTTTCTCATGTGATCATCAAATGTTCAATCTACTGTGCGCTTTCATTTTACAATAACAATTCACTCTTTGTGACGACTGTCACGACATACAGCTTACAAACATTCTTGCGCGTAGCATCCATTACAATACTGCTAATTGTTTGAAGCCTCAATAATCCACCAGATATTAAAACGTCAAATGCCTTAAAAGTAAGATGTAGATAGGAATAGACGTATTGAAATTCATTTATAAAATGCTAAAATAACACTTAAAGAAAATCTAGCCATTATTTTGCGAAACATATGCTTATGAATTTCGTGAATTTGTATTCCCAATCAATACTTGACCAACGACGGGGAAATACAGTCACAGCCTTACATATATATTGACCTATTGATAGATCCGTTTCATCCATACAACGTGATAGATGAGAACTCTTCTTCTGATATATTTAATTAAAAATTCTATTAGTTTATCAAAACAAATATACAACTAATCTTCTTACCAGTAATATGGGTGCAAAGAATAGTTCACATTCAGCACTCAGAGTTATAAACGCTTCCCAACTTCCGTGATATGTGGGCTTGTGTATAGATTGTAAAAAACTGGAGAAAAACATGCAATTAACATGGACATGATAAGTGTTGTTTCGATAGTGAAATGTTGGCGAAATTTGGATTTACTGAAATACGTCTCTGGAATTTTATTTATCAGTACAAGAGCGACGCTACAGTGAGTGACGGAACATGTGTCACAACTTGATGTATGTTTTTCAAAAATACAGCTGTAATTCCTAATAGGAGAAGTGATGTATACAAATGATCTACTGTTGTCAATCAACCAAAAAGCGATTTTCAATCAAATCCAATTTTCTTGTATTCTATTTTCATTCGTAATCGGTTCTTGTCCGTCTGGTGCCGCATCGTGGATGTGCACTGTTCAAGAATCTCATAATTGGACAAGACAAACATCCACTGCTTTCAGGCTTTCAATCGGAGTCTAAAACCGAACGATCTATGACCGCAACCAAAAACCTAATCACTTTAAATGAATTATTGACTAAAACCTGATTGAGATACCAGTGTAGTACTAACTGAATACATCACAATATACCATATTAATGTGATCAAATAAATGAATACCTCAAACTTTGTTCTTCTGTTGGCAAAGTTGAAGGAATACAATTGGATATGACTAGATCTTCATTGGTCAGTATGGGCTGTATACCAAGTCTATCAGAAACTTGTAATAGTGGTTTAGCGATTTGAACTGGTAATGACTGAAATCATATTTAGAGCAAGAACAAGTATGGAGATGAATATCTACGTGGAACCTTTAATGAAATACTTGGTTATAAATAAGTCCATAAATCTATGCAGAGATTCGGGTTTTAAAATCTAAATCTCAATGATTACTCCAACATAACTATAATAAAACATTTGATTGAACATTATATGGAGAAACATCCAGGCAACTGAATGTAAGATTGAAGGAACACAAACAATGCTTGAAAAATATTCCAAAATCCTCGGTCGACTTAAAGAAACTTGAAAATAAATCAGCGATAGCGTTACATGCGTTAGAAACAGGGCACAAGATTAATTTTGAAGGGGCCAAAATACTTCAGATTGGTTTTAACACCCATAAAGTAAGATTGACAGCAGAAGCGCTGCATATATGGGCGAACAAGAACAGCCTGAACCGAAAAGATGGTATTCAACTGGCAACTACGTAACTACGCAACATTTACGTATTGTCAAACCGTTCACCATGTACGTTCACTCCACAGAGATTCAACAGTTACTGTCCTTATTATCAACAACAGAGAAATACACACCATTCTAAAACAACTTCATATTGATTGGAAAATCAATAGTTGTTTGGATTCTGTAGCTTAGTAGGTTGCAGTTTGACATTGTAAGTGGTACATTCGAATTATGATTTGGTCATCAACAACTACATCTAGCTAACCAATTCTGAACAAGACGATTCTCTCACACTAGATTTCAAGGCAAGTCACAATTCAGCTTTATTTTGTCAACAAAAAAACTCTATATAATATGGGTCATTTGTGATGCCAGAACATTCTGCATTCATCCAACTAATTATGATTCATTTAACAGACTAGTAAAATACTCTTAAAAGTTAGTGTTATCGCATTCATACAACAGTTGGTTTCCCTGCTAACTACTTTTTCTTTTGATCAGAATACTACAAAAACAATGATGATTTCACTATCAGCCTAATTAAGATACATAAACAATGACACTGTTAATGACCACAATATCTCTGTACACCAGACAATATTGTTTTACACAAAAACAGTATTGGTTTATTATCTCTGATAAACACTCGATTTTTAAAGTTATTTCACATCTTATAAGTAATTGTTACTAACTATTTAAATGAAGAATATTTGAGTCAACTTTTCTCTTCAATAACTTCATTACCAGGCTCTACAAGTCCATAAATATAATAAGATCATGTGGATACAATAAGAAGTATGAATAGAAATGGCGAAACCATGTTATCACCAGACAATAGCATCTTCGTTCACTAACATACCCACTTGACTGGAAATATCGATTACATATATGAACAATTGCTATATAAAGAACATAGAGATACCGATCCTAATACGTAAAATGAAGAAAATTTTGTTCAAATGTACCATGAATATCTACTTTATGATTACCAAGGAATTTTACCGACAAGTAGATGAAATAGCAATGGGATCACCACTAGGCTCAATACTTGCTATTACTTTTGCTGCCCAAACTAAAAAATCGACCGTTGAATGACATCCTAAATAAGCTAGATTATAACTATCGATACATGCATGACACACTAATCGTATATGATGAAAATATCGATGAACAGGTGATGTAAGACTTTTACTATAACGTCAACTGAGCTATTAAACTCACCAGCGAAGAAGAGAAAGACAATGGTGTAGATTTCCTAGATGTCCTTCTTTCTAGAAGGATAGACCGTGCCATAAAGAACACATTATGAAGTATGGCTATCCAGATACGTTCGTCAGAAAATTCATAGTAGAAGCTAATACAACAGGAAGAAATTGTAACTCAATCAGCAAAATCTGTTTTTTAAACAGAACACAGCGAGCGATATTTTAACACGTCGACTCAAAACATCTGTTGAAAGGACCTTGCACGACACCAATCTACATATGATTTTCTCAACTAAACCAGTAATTACACAACAAATCAAGGATAGTTAACCGATGATGGGCTCCTCCATGTGTGCATACCAATCCAACTGCTCCTGTGCAGCTAGGAACGTAGACTGTAATCAAATGGCCTTATCATTGCATGTTCGTCAACATGTACCAGCATGGTTGGGAAAAGAAGTTAATAAATCGATCAACAGTATTATTGTTTATCACTTGGTAGATAGGGAACATCATGTTAAGATAGAGGAAGCTTCCTCTGTTTTATCCTTAGTTCCGAAATATCTACCTCAAGGAGCTAGATTACGGCTACACAACATAGTCGAAACCATCTTGACCAACTCCAGAAAACCGGACTTATGTATCCAGGAGAGGTATATCCAGTCTCTATGTTTACCTTGGTCTACAACTGGATTACGGATGCCTAAACTGAATATTATAAACCTCTTTAAGCCATTCACTCTCATATTTTATGATTACATCTATCCTAATCTTCTATCTTTCTCAATTCATAGGAACACTTTTCTCTCGCAATTACCTTGATAACACCCCTCCTATGACATATCATTATTCACACAAATATATTATAACTATCATCATTATGATCTCAATTGACAAGATGAAATTCTCCTACTATGCATTTTATTCACATGATTTTCCCATTTTCATTTGTACTACATTACTATTATGCTGATTGTGACTGGACACTTAACACCAAATCATTCTGACCTTTAATTAATCACCTATCTACAATACAAATGACACATTATCTTGAAGCAGTTATACCACAACAGATGTAAACTATCACCATTTTTAACATATTACATTGTCAAAGTCATTAATACATGCCTGAAAATTGGGCCTTTGCAAAAATATCACAATAGTGATGGACTTATAACTGTAGAGACTGATGATAAAGTTATTGAAAACAATAGCTGATGAGTGTATTACGCTTTTGCTAAAATCACTTCCAAGATATGGAAGTATAATGAAGCGTGATGTAACTCAATAATTATTCAACTCTCTATAACACACACATATCACTTTCGAATAATTCACCTACCTCTGTTTCACCACCTTCTCCATCTTGCCATACATAAACAGAAGTTATGAAAGCAAGAATTTTATGTGCCAATCTCAATTCCTTATGATTATCAAGACCATCCAAATCTAAAAGTGGTAACTAGAAGAAAAGATGACTATTTGAGTTACAAGAAGGTACAAGTAATTTTACTAATCATTTATTACTATTAATCTGTAATCTGATTTTTTTTTTCAATTGTGTTTCATTGAAGCGATTGTGCAGCAATGAGCGGATTAATCGACCGCATTAAATGTTCGAGAGTGAAAGTATGTATCAGAAAGTCTGAAATCTTTACTCTGTATATTTCAACGACATTTTCTCACAGTTTTCATATAAAAGGGATTATCTATATATAAACTCAGTGGGTAGAACGGAGGTCGACAATAAACTTAAAATGAGAAGTGAATTGAATCACCACATTTTCTCCATATATGAACACAGGGTCAGCATTCTACTTGAAGGAATAAGTTTGAAAGTGCTTATACGAACATGTTGTTTCAGAAATGCACCAATAAAAGTATAAATAAATATTAGTAAGTAGAGGACATTTGATGATATTTGAAATGAATGAGTCTTGTAGTTCCGATAAAATATTTTAGGAGTAATATAAATACACATGATCTTAAACCTGCAATTATGTGCATCAATATTCTCTGATTGTTTCCCTAAGCACGGATGATACAATTCTCGACCTTTATAATTGTTATAACCCAATTATTATGCCTTCTTAACAGATCGACGAAAAACTTGTACCCAATATAGATTTCGACCAGACTAATAATTCTCCAAAACACTTTCCGGTAATCATCTAAGATTGTGTTCTTGGAAACATTGATGACTGATTACAGAATTTTACAGTTAAACATAATTCACTTTCACTTGGTGTTGTTTGCTCGTATCTTCCCACTATTGTTTATGTCTGCAATTGATCCATCTCTTGTTGGCATATGTGAATCGTGTGTGGATCGTCTGAACATTGCATCACGTCACAAGCTTTATAAGCAAATATGGATAGTGTCTAGCAGTGGAATGTAGGACGCGAGTTTCGTCCTATTTATGACTGGTCAGCAATAAGAATCTACATCCCACAGTAGATGTTCACTCTGGGACTCGGACTCAGAACTGATCACTTCAAACGACATCGTGCTACCCAATTAGCTACTGATTCCTGATAACCATGTGCTTGTGCAATGCGGTGAAGTTTAAATTCATTCAATGTTGTTCGCTTGTATCTCACCATTGTTGTGATATCCATCTGGCGAGTCCCAAATGGGAAGAATCGCGCATTGCGGATTCCACTGCTTGCCACTATCCACCCTTACTTATGACAACTCACACTCATTTACAAATATATATATACATAGATAACAGTTTTGTCATATTGAAACTGACTTGAAATATCTACTCAGTTATAAGGTGACTGGTTAAGATAAGGAATTCTTTTCCAATAAACATATACACAATAAAGGTGTTCGAATAACTATATGCTTGATGAAATTGAATACATAATTTCTTATGAATGACTGGCAGTTGAAGGACGATATTGGAAATGTTGAAAATGGATAATTATTAAGGTGAAGTTCTTTTGAATTGACATAATGAAACGGTTTTCCAGTACATTATCAATAATATCTCTCTAGAGATGGCGATTCGAGGTGGTCGACAGGAAACCCTTGAAATGGGTTTCATGATATTTGACACGGGATCGAATCGATCAGGACGCATCACTTCAGTGTCCATACAGGAATTCTTCTATTTTGAAATATTATGTATATCAGAAACACATATATTAATCATGTGAGCTAGATTACTATAGACGATTGTATATGTTTCCAGATTTAATTGCCTTGTAAACATTACGTAATAATTACGTGCACTCAAATAAAACACCTCTGATATGCGTAATATTATAGTACAAAATCTATGTTTACAGTGAAGTAATTTACAAAACAGATATCGGGTTATTAAAGTGGTGAGCCCGTCGACAACATCGTCCGATCTAATTGACGTCAAAATAAACGGCACCACAACGCTCTCTCAGTTAAAACAACTCAAATATGAGTAATATTTTAGTATTAAATCTATGTTTGCAATAAAATAATTTGAGGAAAACAAAACAACTAAACAATATCATCAATTACTTACTGATTCTACTTCTTTTCTCAAACTGCGATTTCTCGATAGTTCCGGCAATCGATCAATTAATGTGTTCCATGCTTTCCATTTCGATGGAAGAGTTTTCTAGTATTATTTGAAAGAAAAACACCTTAATAGTTCAATATGATAATCAAACCATTGGATTCTCTACAATTGCACCAGTTTTAAATGATAAACAATAAGATTCTAAACTGTTCATCGTTGGCTAGTTGGTTAGTTGTTATTTAGTTACTTCAATGAGACCGTCTCATACATCTCTATGCATAAATGTCTCTCTCTATATATATGCATATAATGTGTAGGTTATCACGTGTATTAGTTTGAACAAACTAAACGAGTGGAACTGTCCAATCGTAAGCTTGATAGCATGATAATATTGGACCAATATCATTCTTCTTCTTATTATTATTATTATCATACTAGATAGTTTAAACGCTCTTCTTCTTCTTCTTTTCTTCTTCTTGTCAATGAAATAAGGTCATTCTAATTAAATTATTGAATAATATAACATGGATTCATCACAAACTGATCGTTAGATTAGCAAAATATAATTAAAGTTGAAACTGTTTGAAGAGATTTTCATTTTATTGATGAAACGTTTGTTGTTTTTGTTGTTGTTGTTGTTGTTGTTGAGGAATCATCATTATTGAGATTACAGTTGAGAATCTGTTCACTGATATACAATTCGTCGTTTCCAAGATCACTTGATCTTTACTTATTCCAATGAATAAATATTTCCCTAAAACTCACAGGTTAGCTCGTTGAATTTCAAAATGATTTAAACGATGTGGATTTATCCATGGATTGAATAGCTTAACAACAACAAAAACAACAACAACATAAACTAGAACTGTAATAGAGTTATGTTTATGGATTATGTATTAACTGATAGTCCAAAACTGATCAATATCCTGTTATTAGGTCTTCAATACAGATGAAATTTTGTTGACTGGATTGTTTGTAGGCTAAGCAACTCGATATTCTTGACCAATTCATTTGATTTTAGACCATTTAAGTTTCAGATTGAACTCATGTGTTAGGAGATATGTGTCTGGTCATATGAAGCTGTGGTTGGTCAATGAATGTGGATTAACACTTATTGCTTCATTTCGTTTCGTACTGGCCTAATATTGTCAAGTGTCATAATACAAGTACTAGGTATCAGACCGATAACATATTCTTTATGTGACTTAGTTTATTATGTGAGAGATTGATTATTTTTCATGGGAATCTAGTACTAGTTTAATTGGAATATCTCCATTGTTCGTCTGAGGAAAACAATTGTGCAAATAATCACCTCGATCAGACAAGTGATCAGCTCACTATTGTAATCATGAATTCTCTCATAAATTTCAGTCAGCTATTCATATGAATAGAATACGGTTACTGAATTCTTCATAAATATTCAATGAGATGAGCAGTTTGTGATGAATGCTTATAATCTCCACTCAGTGGGTACTGTGTTGTTCGGTTGAATTGTATAAAGTAATAAATACTAGAGAAAATCACATAGTTATCTGTTGAGATAGATAAGATCGATAGTGATTCCCATGTATTGTCGGTCACAGTATGCGTTGTTCATTGACCGATTGAGCTAATATTGCTTCAGCCTATATAGTTCAAACAACAGCAATGTGCAACGTGTTTCTTCCTATTGGTTGTGCATGATTTCGGTTCAGTGTTCAGATGTTGTAGATGTCGAATCCGGTGAACCTGATGGAAACGTGTCGTGTCTATTATCATATGATGGTCTGTCATTGTATACAGGGGTGTGCAGAAAGAAATCGTGTGTTCAGTCCTATTTAATGTGAAAGCGATTCTCTAGATAACAATGAGAGGAGTAAAGACCAATGACTTATTTATTCAGCAGTTTAAAAATCCCCATAGAATATTCAATAATGAAGAATATTTGAGCGAACTATTGTTAACACATAACACTGTTAAATTAATTTATACATGCTTTATTTTTGGCCTTTATAAAATATCATAATTATGGACTTATGACTGTAGAGCATGATGATGAAGTTATTGAAAACAATTGTTCGCTCAAATATTCTTCACTAATTTATTCGTTAGTAAGTTAGTTAGTTAGTGAAGTGTTTCCACCACCCAAGAACAAATCAAACCTGCAACCGTCAAGTCTCATGAAGACCGTGATAAATTTAAATAGTCAGATCGGAGTGCTGCAATTTTGTGCTCTCAAATTGCTTCAATTCGGTACATTGTTCATTCATGATACATTGTCATCAGGACATATATTTCTCACTCGTAACACCGCTTCCCTTCACCAATCACAATCCCCTACATGAACTTCAGAAATCCATATGAAAGTAATTTATTTTTAAGCACCTGATAAACACCAAAGTAATGTACAAAGTTATGGTGTGAGAATTATCTAGAACTTCATATTTTCTACAACTAATTGTCAGTTAATGTCAGTCAGTAAAGAAAAAATGTCTGTATGCTCTATCCATGGAAACAAAGTGCAATCTAGAGGCATATTTTTCAAAAATGGTCGGTTTCATACTAATTAGACATAAATGACACATAATTAGCTCTTTTCAAGTTTTCTCAATCTATAGTTTAATTACTGTCTGGTGTGATTTGCATAGCAAACATTATTGCTTCATAAAAAACTTAACACAATTTGTTTTATGTCTAAAATATTTACTAAATTTAACCGACGTATTAAGGTAGAAGGTTTACCGTTTACAAAACTGATTGACTTAAAATTATTTCTTCTACAATTAACACAACAAACTTAGATATTCCGTTGAATTTCAAAGTAAACTCTAAACACCGATTTGATCATCAATAAATTGAGTGACTGAACTGACTGGTTTTATTATGATGAACAGATCAAAGAGGAACAATCCGATGATTTCACCGTAAGTGGTAATTTATTAAAGTCATTCAAAAATTCTTCTTTTATTCTATACTTATTTCTTATTCTTCACCTCTTAAGGTTTATATTCTTGACTATCTGTCTATCTACAAAATTTCCATTGATTACGGAATCTTATCAATACTACTATTACTACTACTACTACTACTACTACTACTACTACTACTACTACTACTACTACTACTACTACTACTACTACTACTACTACTACTACTACTACTACTACCAATACTACTACTACTACCAATACTACTACTACTACTACTACTACTACTACTACTACTACCAATACTACTACTACTACTACTACTACCAATACTACTACTACTACTACTACTACTACTACTACTACTACTACCAATACTACTACTACTACTACCAATACTACTACTACTACTACTACTACTACTACTACTACCAATACTACTACTTCTACTAATGGGTGTACTCGTGGGGATAATTGAATGTATTTGAATACAAAATTACAGATCGTCATGATAAAATCTGAGAATCATACAGTAAATACTTCAATTGCAAAATGTTCATTTTTTGTCTCAGACATTACTGTTCCAGTATATCTATACCAATTGGTTTCTGTTCCCGTTCTTTCCTTCTCGCTCTCCTCTACCACCTGACTAAATTTATATACTACTTTTGTCGACATAAGTAGCACACACAAAACACTACTACTATTAATACACCTGTTTTTCTACTATCAATTTGTTCTTCTTACTGATCATATGTAGTTATGTAATCTGCTTCACTGAGATCGTTCACTAGTAAATTGTCTTGTATAATTCAATTTCTTCACAAATCAATATCAATATTCATGCATATTAGACAAAGGTCTAATGGCTACCTAGTTGATAGCAATATTGTTCACTTATATTTGTTGCTCAAATCTATGATGAACAAATAGAAAGTTGAAAGCTTCCTCAAATTCAAATCATTCAGTTTCGCATGAATGAACGGATTGGCAAAACAAGAACGGCCTACTTACAATTGAATAGTACCCGGAACTCAAGATATATAAATATCTATACGTTAAAAAATACTTAATTTTTAAGCTTAGTGAATACAGTTGTGTTCGAAGACCATCAATGTGGTTTTCATTTTAAATTAGGGAACAATCACGCGTCCGATTACTCACCAGTTCCTTTCAATTTATAATGTAAACTTACTTTTGATCACATCTTTGTGATTGTTTGAAGAATTATTGACGAGGGAAGAAATTCATAGAATCATCATTCCAAGATCTATCGCAAATATTATTCAGAAAGAAAATTTACGGAATACTAATGATTGACACTCCTAAAAAGCTCTACTGCGAAACTGAATGATTTGAATTTGAGGAAGCTGTCAACTTTCTATTTGTTCATCATAGATTTGAGCAACAAATATAAGTGAACAATATTGCTATCAACTAGGTAGCCATTAGACCTTTGTCTAATATGCATGAATATTGATATTGATTTGTGAAGAAATTGAATTATACAAGACAATTTACTAGTGAACGATCTCAGTGAAGCAGATTACATAACTACATATGATCAGTAAGAAGAACAAATTGATAGTAGAAAAACAGGTGTATTAATAGTAGTAGTGTTTTGTGTGTGCTACTTATGTCGACAAAAGTAGTATATAAATTTAGTCAGGTGGTAGAGGAGAGCGAGAAGGAAAGAACGGGAACAGAAACCAATTGGTATAGATATACTGGAACAGTAATGTCTGAGACAAAAAATGAACATTTTGCAATTGAAGTATTTACTGTATGATTCTCAGATTTTATCATGACGATCTGTAATTTTGTATTCAAATACATTCAATTATCCCCACGAGTACACCCATTAGTAGAAGTAGTAGTATTGGTAGTAGTAGTAGTAGTAGTAGTAGTAGTAGTAGTAGTAGTAGTAGTAGTAGTAGTAGTAGTAGTAGTAGTATTGGTAGTAGTAGTAGTAGTAGTAGTAGTAGTAGTAGTAGTATTGGTAGTAGTAGTAGTAGTAGTAGTAGTAGTAGTAGTAGTATTGGTAGTAGTAGTAGTAGTAGTAGTAGTAGTAGTAGTAGTAGTAGTAGTAGTAGTAGTAGTAGTAGTAGTAGTAGTAGTAGTATTGGTAGTAGTAGTAGTAGTAGTAGTAGTAGTAGTAGTAGTATTGGTAGTAGTAGTAGTATTGGTAGTAGTAGTAGTAGTAGTAGTAGTAGTAGTAGTAGTAGTAGTAGTATTGGTAGTAGTAGTAGTAGTAGTAGTAGTAGTAGTAGTAGTAGTAGTAGTAGTAGTAGTAGTAGTAGTAGTAATAGTAGTATTGATAAGATTCCGTAATCAATGGAAATTTTGTAGATAGACAGATAGTCAAGAATATAAACCTTAAGAGGTGAAGAATAAGAAATAAGTATAGAATAAAAGAAGAATTTTTGAATGACTTTAATAAATTACCACTTACGGTGAAATCATCGGATTGTTCCTCTTTGATCTGTTCATCATAATAAAACCAGTCAGTTCAGTCACTCAATTTATTGATGATCAAATCGGTGTTTAGAGTTTACTTTGAAATTCAACGGAATATCTAAGTTTGTTGTGTTAATTGTAGAAGAAATAATTTTAAGTCAATCAGTTTTGTAAACGGTAAACCTTCTACCTTAATACGTCGGTTAAATTTAGTAAATATTTTAGACATAAAACAAATTGTGTTAAGTTTTTTATGAAGCAATAATGTTTGCTATGCAAATCACACCAGACAGTAATTAAACTATAGATTGAGAAAACTTGAAAAGAGCTAATTATGTGTCATTTATGTCTAATTAGTATGAAACCGACCATTTTTGAAAAATATGCCTCTAGATTGCACTTTGTTTCCATGGATAGAGCATACAGACATTTTTTCTTTACTGACTGACATTAACTGACAATTAGTTGTAGAAAATATGAAGTTCTAGATAATTCTCACACCA